CATGCACGCACTCACACATACCTGTGAGCGTTTCCCTTATCACCACTGCTGCTCAATGACTGAATTGTAAGGGCACGTGGAAAATTTTTAAGAATGGGATGACCCAACAGAATTTTAAAAGGAAAAGACCATGGTTGGGTCTGAATTAGGAGGAAATGACCCTGGGAAAATGGAGACAACAAGCTTTGTGTTGTGACTTAAACTAGATCAAAGACAGAGCCATCTTCACCTTTCTGTGGAGGACACGCTGAGAGGCGGTAGTGATGACCTTGGGTCCAGTGGGCTCACTGGAGACAAAAAAGCTTCCTGCCACTGCTGTGCATTGCTTAACCTTCTTCCTGGACCCAGAGAGACAGGATATGTGCAATAAAAAAATAAATAAATAAATAAATAAAAATAAAAGCCCCTTTCAAGGAGCACAAACAACAAATCACTCTCCTAACTGAGCCGCCAACCTCAGATCTAGTATGGAGCTAAAGCTTCCCTACACATTGTCTATGCTTAATATAACATGAAAATGCCAGGGCCATGTGATGCCTACTTCCTAGACAAGACAACTGAGGTGCAGGGTGGATAAATAACTTGCCCACACCCACACAGCTAGTAAGAGACCCAACTGGAATGCGAAGCCAGATGCCAGCTCTCTTCTCTGACTGCCTCTCCGTCCCGCCATCCAGGAGTGTGGGGAGGGAGCGCAGGGGTGGCCAGCATTCCTTGGAGGAGGTGGAAAACATTCCCTGAGGTCACAGCTCTGCTTTAAGTCTTGCCCTCTTTCAAGCCCAGCGCTCTGGAGGTTTCCTCTCTACTCCAGGCAGGTCCGGCATTTCAACAGCAATGGCTATTAAAATAGCTCCTCAAGGGTGTGGCCTGGGTTTAGTGGCTTTATCTTGCTCTAAATTAGAACGATGGTCAATGGCAGTCTCGTTTTCTGGTAACTGTCGTTCTCTCTGATACCCTTGGTGGTGGTGACATCACATCTATGTCTGGCCTGCCTAGTGAGGCCATCTTTTAAGAGTTCTCCCTCTTTGGTGCAATTGAGACTCTTTCACCCTAGTTAATGGGGGTTTTGTTTGAGGGGGAGGGATGTTCTAGGTTGGGGGTTGTTGATATGTCTATTGGCCAAATTTCATTTATGTGAAAGGTATACCTGTACGGTATATGTGTCATTACTTCCATTCTTGGCTCCTCACATCCCTTGTGGTGAAGTTAGAACCAGGGATCAGATCCTTCTAGATCCCCCAGCTCCAGACCCTTATTTTTACAGACCCTTGTTATCTCCTGGGAAGGGGCTCATGGGGCATCTGATCCGGGGTCTGGACTCAGGCCTGGGTTTCAGCTCTGTCTCCCATTGGCTGTCTGACTCCGAACAAGCCATGTGGTCCCCTGGAGCCAGTCTCCCCACCTATGGAGTGTGAGAGTGGCAGGAGGCAACGTATGGAAATGTCCTGTGAAGACCAAAGGTTGTAGAGAACCCTCTGGCTGGTAAAAGCAGAGCTTTCCGGGCCCTCCCCCAGAGTCACTGACGCAGTGGAGCCCAGGAATCTGCATTTCTAACAAGCTGCAAGACGCTGATGCTATCAGCCTGGGGCCCACACTGAGAGAAACTCTTGGAACTTCTTAGAACGTAGAACTTAGAGAACTTCTGGGGAAGAGTGAAGTTCCATGCAGTGAGAGGCACTTGTTACAGGGACGCAGGACAGTGGGTCACCACCCAAGGGAAGCTGAGCCCACACTGCCATTCTGCACACTTCAGGGTAGTCTTTCCTGACTCCAGACAAGCAAGTGCTTGTCTAAAAACAAGTCAACACGCTGTTGGGCCCCAACCCAGAATTCCCAAACTAGATGTTCCTGGGAGAGACCTGGTCATGTGTTTTGTACCAGGCCTCCAGGTGAGTCCTATCTTCAGAGGCATTTGGGAGATGCTGCAGCTTCACAGCTGGTTCCAATCGAAAAAATAGTATGGGAAAGCCAATGTCCTGACCCCTCCAAATGGGGACATGGATAACGGTGACAGCTCAGTTTCCATGGGGAAGAGGCACCCTATCACCTGGCAATAGAAACCTTGTGAGGCCTGGAAGCAGGGCCTCTGTGGAGGGTTTCTGGCGGCATCAGGAAGCAAGATCTGAAGTGTACTGCCCGGAGCGGCCTCATCGCCAGCACCAGAAGAAACCTGCCCATAGCGTGGCATTCACCCACCTCTCCATGGGGGCCTGTGTCTCCTCTCTGACCCCAAGGATCCCGCACAGTGGAAAACACGGCATGCCTGGAAGCCCTGATCCCTGCCTGGCTGCATCTCAGACTTCCCTGGGAGAGTTTGGAACCTTCTCCCCATATGGCTGAGCACCACTCCAGCCCCATTCAGGCAGAAATGTCAGGGGTGAGCACAGCCTCTGCAGTGCCAGGCGCTCCATGGGTGACAGAGCACAGCCCGAAGCCAGAAAGCTCGGTGCTGTGTAAAAGGGAAGAGACTACACAGTGGGTCACCCAGGCTCTCGCCCTTGGTCATCTGTACCCATCTTATCTACAACACAGAGCGAGACAGGGACAGTTCCTGACCACCCAGCATGTCCAACATGAGGATTCTCTGTTAAGTCATGTTTAGATGCTTGTTTAAACTATTTTTTAAAAGATGCTCCACATTACTAATCATGAGGGAAATGCAAATCAAAACCACCATGAGATACCACCTCCCACCCGTTAGGATGGCCATTATCAAAAGAACAGAAAAGAACAAGGGTTGGTGAGATGTGGAGAAATTGGAAGCCTTGTGAACCGCTGGTAAGGATGTAAAATGGGGCAGTCACTGTGGAAAATAGTATGGCAGTTACTAAAACAATTAAACACAGAATTACCAACTGATCCAGCAATACCACTTCTGGGTATTTCATCAAAGAAATGAAATCAGGGACTTGAACAGATATTTGTACATGGGCACTTATAGCAGCATCATTCACAATAGCCAAAAGGGGGAAGCAACCGCAGTGTCCATCAACGAATGAATGGAGAAACAAAATGTGGTCTGCCCATGCAGAGGAATACTACTCAGCCTGTAAAAGGAAGTTCTGACACATGCTACAACATGGGCGAACTTTGAGGCTGTTATGCAAAGTGTAATAAGCCAACCACAAGGAGACAAATACTGTATAATTCTACCATTGTGAGGAGCACAGAGTCATCAAAATCATAGACAGAAAGTAGAATGTGGTTGCGGGAGTTGGGGGAAGGGGGATGCGGATGGGGGGTTTTTCATGGGTATGGACTTTTCAGATTTGCAAGGTGAGAAGAGTTCTGCACAGCTATGGGAATGTATCTAACACTGCAGAAATGTATACTTAAAAATGATAAAGGGCCGGTCGCCGTGGCTCACGTCTGTAATCCTAGTACTTTGGGAGGCCTGGGGGGAGTGGACCACCTGAGCTCAGGTGTTTGAGACCAGCGTGGTCAACAGGACAAAACCCTGTCTCTACTAAAAATACAAAATTTAGCCAGACATGGTGACAAATGCCTGTAGTCCAAGCTACTCAGGAGGAGGCTGAGGCAGGAGAATTGTTTGAACCTGGGAGGCAGAGATTGCAGTGAGCTGAGATCACACCACTTCACTCCAGCATGGGTGACAGAGCAAGACTCTGTCTCAAAAAATAAAAATAAAATAAATAAAAATGGTTAAGATGGTAGATTTTATGTTGCATGTATTTTACCCCAATAAAAAAGGAAATCATAACACTTTTTACAAAACGTGTATTTTGTGGAAACGACTAAGGCACCTTTAAGGATAAAGTAGATTTTATCAGGCATGGTACGATGGCTCACACCTGTAATCCCAACATTTAGGGAGGCCCAAGAGAGAGGATCACTTGAAGCCAGGAGTTTAAGACCCTCCTGGGCAGCAAAGAGAGACCCTCCCTCTACAAAAAGTAAAAAATAATAAAAATAAATGAGCCAGGCATGATGATGTACACCTGTAATCCCAGCTATCCAGGAGGCTGAGGCGGGAGGATCCCTTGAGTCCAGGAGGTTGAGGCTGCACTGAGCTATGGTCATGCTACTGCACTTCAGCCTGGGCAACACAGTGAGATCCTGTCTCTAAAGAAAAAACAGCAACAACTAAATTTTATCTGAACCAAATGCTGGAGTCAGGGCCGGTGCTAAGGGAAACATGGCATGTCTGCATCAGTTTTCAAAACATCTCCTTCCAAAGGCACCCACGAACAGAAGGGACATTCGACTCTCTTCCCAAACACAGAAATAATCTAGGGAAGAATTGTCAGTGAAGAACGTTGGTCCCACAAGTTCATGGATTAATGCTGGGTACACGTTTATGATTGTGCCTGTTCATTGACTCCTTCATGCTTCACTCATTTGTTTAGTCTTCACTCTACAAAGCATCCCCAAGCAAAGGAGAGACAGATGGAGCAGGGAGTGGGCTGTAGCCAGCAGATCCCTTTAAGGAGAAGTGTCTCAGTGCAGCGGAAGAAGCAAGAGGATATAGAGAGAGTCTACAGAGAGGAGAGGCCAAGGAAGCTGCCATGGGCTATGGGGAGCACTGAAGGCCTGAAAGGAACCTGCAGAGCCTCTGGTGGGGAGCTGGTTTCAGGAGGCCCTGGGCTGTGCCTGGCTCTCCTCTGCAGCCCCAGCCTCTGGCACACAGTAGGGACCCAGCAAGTGTTAGCTTGTGAAATGTCAGAACGTGGCTAAGTTTATAAGAAGTACAAAACAGCAGCCCAGTCTCAGCCTGAGGATAAATTTAAAGCTCAGACCTTCACCCAGCTGCTGCCCACCTGCGTCTTGGAGGCCTCCAACTTGGGCTGGGGCATTTTGGGGAGAACCCCTCCACACACCCAGGCCTCTCCTAAGCCAGCGATAGATCATTTTCATTTCATTCAAATGGAACAGTGAGACTAAACTCTGACCAATTTCTGATCAGCTCATTTCTCAGGTTTGCTCGGGGAAGACAAATCCATTAAACACCCCCCTGCTCCCCTCCACCAGGCGCTGAGCTCCCCGTGGCATCAAGACAAGAGCTCTTGAGGGTAAAGACTCATTTTATGTGGATCAGTGGCTGGCTTATTGTAGGTGCTTAATAAATATTCAATCATAGCAATCTTAATTACTGGATTACATCATGTCTGTCTTAGGGTAAGATATAAATAAATAATGCCATAATAATAATGAGACCCTCACAGAGGGCTGCTCAGTTTGAGTTCCCACTACTTACTACACAGGCAGTCTTAATAAATTTGGGTGGATTTCATATTTCATGAAGACATATCTGCTCACAGCAGGTAAATGTTTCTGAAGCTAAGCCTTATGTAGTATTAATGTGAGCATTCCTGGTTTCCTAGTCTATGTCCTGTTGGAACTTAATTCAAGTTGAGGTGGCATCCTGTGCTCCCAGTTTTCAGGGTCAGCCACCGGCAGCTTCGGTAAGTCAGGAAGGAGAGGGGGCTAGGTGTCAGGGCCTCTGGCACTGCAGTTGGCTCGAGGTGAGACCCAGACACATGTTAGCTTTGCTGTGATCCAGTGATGGTCTCCAACACAGCCGAAGCCCCAGAATAGGGCCGCAAACATGGAAGTCTTCTGGCCCCGCAGGTTCTGTAAATGAGTGAAGGTAGCAGGTGGTTTGCAGGAAGGCACAGGTCCTATCTGAAGGGCAGCCCTTCTCTGCTTAGCCCCTGCCCCTAATGTGAGAATGCCACCCCCGGTGCCTGATCTCCTAGGAAGAGATCAGAAGGGGTCAGAAATGAAGCGATCCACACAAAAAGCTCTTGATTTTTAAATGCTGCTTATCAATCCAAATTATTTTAGGATGAAACACAACTGTGGCATTTGGGGCCTCCTCTGGTCCTGGGCTACACTAGGCATGTCTGCAGCTCAGAGCCAGGGGTGTGCACCAAAGGCACTTGCAGGGCCCTCCTCAAAGGCCAGAAGAGGGAGACGGAGGGAAAGGCCCCTGGTCGAGGGATTGGGCACCCAGCTCTGGGCTCTGGCACTAGCTGTTATTCACTGGACTCACCGTGTGACTTCCCCTAAGTCTCCCAGCCCGTGTTCCCAAGGCTGGAAAATGGAGGGTGATGAGGCTGCTGGGGCTGTACCAGGGACCAGTGCAAAAGAGACAGTGACGGGAAGCCCTCTGCAGACCTGACAGCACCACACCAAGGAACAGCAACGAGTGGACGCCCAGAAACTTACATGGAAGCCTCAGCGCTCCCTGAATTCTGGCCTCTGGAAGCCTCTCAAAACTTCAAGACGCACAGCTAGTCTGGAGGAGTTAAGGCCGGAATGTCACATAGTGACCCCAGAGAGGAGACTGTGACCTGCAAACCCGCTCAGTGGAGAGTGCACGGTCCAGCTCCGCCCTGACCTTGCGCAGCGTGGGAGCCAGGCCCATCCCACTGTGAGTATCTGTTTCCTACTCTGTGCTCTAAGACTTGCCTGAAGAATGCAAAGGAACCTCCTCTAGTGTGTGAAGGCAGGGGTATGGCCATACTCCATTTCCCAGCAGGAAGCCCGCAGCTCTAATGAAGTAGAAGAGCTGCAGAGGGAGAAAGGAGCTGGGCAGCCCGTCTGTGGACACAAGCAGCTCCACCTCCCTGCCTAGCCGAGGTGACCGTTTGAAGCAAAGACAATGCCCTGAAGGAAACTTGGGACCGGCAAGGCTCCAAGAAGCAACTCCCTGCCCCAGACACAGGTCACCAGGCCACAGCACTGGCCTATGGGGAGAGACCAGTGACCTGCCCTTGGGAGAAAGTAGATAGCTTTGGACTTTCTAGAGAAACTCCACCTGCACTGGAGTATTTTTATCCCCACCATCCCAGACATCCATTCTAGGGGCATTTACATCACAGGTGAAATTAGCCACTCACCTTCATGTGAGTCCAGCAGGAAAACCCTCAGGGACTTTTATGAAGTGGGGAAATGGAAAGTGTCCCTCATCCAAAGTAAGACCAGGTGTTCACCCTGCTACAAGTCACCTCGATGAAAAATGCAATTTTTGAAGGAGAAATCAACACACACATATATTTTTCTTCATTATTTCTTGTTTTAGGCATTTTTTTCTCTGATGCCTGGTGATATTGTATTTGAGACTCCCTTAATATATAAATACATTCTTGCATGAATATACATAATTTACATTAATATATGATCTCCATTTTTTACTTGGTTACTTAACAATCTACTCTAAATACTTTCTCCTATTTTAGGTTTTTAATTTATAAGGGCAGCCTCAGGCAACCAACCTCTAAATCTGGACGTTTAATTGTTTCTCATGTTTTGTGTACTTGCCAATATTTGTAGGGTTGTTGGCCTCCCTGAAGCCACTTTATATCAAATAACCCTAAGTGAGGTGACCAGACAGACTGGAGTCTGCGGGACGGGCAGCCTCCTCTGCCACGTGGCCTGAGGGACAGTCTCGAATCTCACCCTGGCTCCCACAGGGCCCCACCCACATTCTCTGATTCCCTGGCTGTGTCTCCTTCCCGGGAGCTCCCACCTCCTCATCAGCTCCCTCTGACCCTGTCTGTCCTCCCTGCCCCAGGGAATTTTCCATTTTTAAAATTATGGAACATTTCAGATGTATATTAAAATACAGAAGATGATACAACAAATGCCCGACTTCAGAAATATTGCTTCAACTGTACCTCAAACCACTTCTCCATACACTGCACTTTGAAGGAGGTCCCAGCTGCTGTCTTTCATTCATAAGTATTAGTGTAGGTCTCTCTATAAAGCCTCTTTTATCAACATAATGCTATTGTCACTTCTAAACAATTAGCTGTAATTCCTTAATATCATCGAATACCTAGGAAGCATTTACATGTCCCCAGTTGTCTTCTAAATGTTTGCTGGAATTAGGACTCAGACAGAGTCTATATACAGCATTTGGTCAATGTTTCTCTACAGTCTTTTAATCAATAGATCTCACCTGCCTTATATTCAACAATATGTTTGTATAGAAATTGGCTTTTGTCCTGCAGAATTTTCCACAGATCTTTCCAATTTCCGTGGAACCTGCCAATTACTCCCTTATGATGTCATGTTTCTGTTTCCTCTGTTCCTGTTCTGCCTGTCATCTGAGAGTTAGATCAAGGTTTAGAGGCTTGTTCTAACTGAGATTTGGTGTTTTGGCAAGAACACTTCCTGTGTATTTTCACAGGTAACCTAGTAGCAATTATTGTATTAAGTTGTGATTTCATCAGGGCCTTGAAAAATTATCATAATCTAGTTTACCTTCCATCTTTGTCTTTACTTATTAGAGAGACCATCCTTCATCCGTCACTTGGTGGCTTGGACTAATTGGTACCGTTTACACAGCAGAGTCAGGCTTAGTTCCCAACCCTGGTCCACTTCTCCGGAGAATGAAGCTGCTCCCTGAGTCTTGCTAAGGGATTGTGGAATGTTGTCTGAGCTGTTGTTTTTCTCAGCAGTGTTACAAATTCATGAGTTGAACACATTCAATGTGTTTTCTATTCCTTGCGATTTTCATCCCTACCGTTCCATCATCTTTCCTAGTGGGAGCCTCCCAAAGTCACTTGCCTGGCTCTCATCACGATTCCAGGAGTTTTTCCACAGCCTGCTTGCTTTTCTGGTGTGGTCAAAGTCCCAGACTCTTCTTACACATTTTCTGTTTTTTTGTTTTTTGTTTTTTGTTTTTTTTTTTTATTGAGAAATGGTATTTAGAGACAAAAATCTAGGTACAAATGATGCTCATTGCTATTGTGCTGGTTATGGCTTCAGATCTTATCAGTTAAGTATTTTTTAGAAGAAAGTAATCAAAAGTTCCTATTGATGTTCAAATAGCATGCATAACGTTTTACTTAATATTTTGATTTTATATTTGCATCTCCTTTTTCTAACACTAAAAATCTTGCTTTGAATGACATGAACATACTTACCAATTTAAGCTAATTCACCACATTGGCTTCTGATGAGCCCCTGTTACAGGAAGGTTTTTTTTTTTTGTTTTTTTTTTTTTTTTTTTTTTTGCATTTTAGGTTTTTAAGATTTCCCATTTATCTGTTATTCCTTGAGTTAGAGCGGGAGCTGACTATAAATCCTGCCCTTAGGTCAAATAACCTTGATGTTATCACACTTCCATTGTCTTACGCACCCCTCCTGAGCCACCCCTCCCCTCTGGAATATGAGCCCTGGGTCTGGGGAGTAGTGGCACAGGGATCTACCATCTTGTCTTGTCACCACCCGAGACTCAGACATACCTTCTGTTTGTAAGTCCCTATTAAATATTTCTAAGGAAAAAAAAACAAGGTCATACTTACCTATTTGCTCTATTGTTTATCTATCAATGTTTCTAAGAACACTTTAAGATTTTATTTAACCGTTAATAATTTTGGGTTCAGATATATTCCCATTATGGATTAAATCAAATTACTTATCTGAAAAGCATTTGATGTAATTTCCTTTTATGAAATCATGCCTCCTATGCATTAAGTTCATTTGTTTTATTTTGCTCTCAGTTTTTAGGTGCTTTTATTATTATTATTTTTGATTTAATTTAGTTTTAAAATACTGGAAGATACATCATGGGTACAAGTCAAATCTACCCAAAAAAGGGCTGAATCTACCTTTTCCTTATCCCACCAGGCTGTTTTCTCTCTTCCCCACAATCATTTTCTAATTTATTCTATGGGTTTCTTTTAATATCAGCAAATCCATATAAACAGGCATTAATTTTTTCTACAGTTTTCTTTTAATGTCAGCAAACCCATAGAAATTGCCTCTCCCTCTTCAGTGAACGGTTAACACACTGTACCCATGTTTCTCCCCCTTGTCCTGGGAATTACTTCCTGCAAGGATGGAGACATGGTCTTCATTCCTTTCTACAACTGCACAGCAGTGGGGGGTACCCAGCTTCTTGGTCCTACACTCGCCGCCTCAGCCCCAAACTCCCAAGTTCTCAGTCATTGCAGACCTGTTGTTGCCTTCCAACCCAACCACGAGAGAGCCAAGGCAGTCACGATTATGACCAAATCACTTCATCAGCCTGCTGCACCTACCCATGCTAAGCACTTGCATGATCCCATTTAATATTTGCAACAGTCATATGGTGTAGGTACCAAATGGAGGTTTGGAGAAATCAAGCCACATGTCCAAAGTCACACAGCTGGTGTGGGGTAGATCTGACAGTGCAATGCTTAAGGCTCTGCCCCCAAAATTCATGAACTGAGTAGCTCAGCTACAGATTCTCCTGGCTATACCACCTGGAGTTTTCTGTGGCTCTGCCCAGCTGCACACAAAGAAGTGGAAATAGACAGCTGGACATACCTGGCACGTATGAGCCATATCCAAAGGCTCCTGGGAGGCCAGACCTCAGAGAGCAACATGGCAGGATGGGAACCCACCTGAGCTGGGTGCCAGAACCCTCTGCAACCAGCCCAAGCCTCACCTATGCCTAGTTCTGTGACCTTGAACCAAGTATTTAACCTCTTAAGCCTCAGCTCTCTTGCTTATAAACCAACTCAGAGATGTAGTAAGGAGAAAAGGAGGTTACAAATGAGAAAAAATCTAGAAGTGCCTGATCCACAGGAAGTGCTCAGAAAATAATTGTTGAATCAAGTTAAGTAGGAAGCCACTCCTGAACAGCAGCTCCCAGGAAATCATCCACAGCAAGTGTGGAAGAGAGAGTCGGTGCACCTTGTCCAGGAACAGGCACTCTTTCTTCTCCAAGGATAGCCCCTGAACCAGCAGCATCAGCGTTGCCTGAGGACTTATTAGAAATGTTCATGCAGGCCCCACAGAGGACCCACTGAAGCAGGAACTCTCAGGGAGGGCCCCAGCCATGGGTGCTTCCTCCTCTGGAGGACTTGAGAACCAGTGCTCTGAGATAAACCCAACACTCTGAGGCTGTAATGGCAGGGAGAGAGGCAAGGCAGCAAGGAGTCCCCCGTGGGGCAGTGCCCCACACTCATTCACTGCACATGAGCTGAGCAGAGGAACACGAGGCGGGCAAAGTAGGTGTCCTCTTGGAATTGCTTTTTGGGAGAAGGGAGTCTATATAGACAGAGCACAGCCCAGAAAGCAGGATGGTTTCTGTTAATTTTCATGACCACGAGGAATAGAATGAGGGCATGACAGAGGTCAGCTGGGGCCAAGGTGAAGATCTCCACATGGGATAGCCATGGAAAAGTCTCTCTGAGGAGGTGACACTTGAGCTGGGGCTTGAATGGTGAGGAGGAAGCAGCCATATCAGGGTCGGGGCAGAGTGCTCCAAGCAGAGGATCAGATAGACAGGGGCAAAGGCCGTGGGGCAGGGTGGAGCTGCATGCAGAGAGGGGCAAGGAGCTCCTGAGGCTGGAGCTGGTCCACCTCTGAGGTTAAAACAATCCTGCAGCAGCTGCAGTGGGTGCGGGGCAGGTAGACAGTGGCCTTCCTCTCCCTGTTCCCTGTTCTCTACACGGAAAAGAGAATAGCTGGCACCTGGGGTGCAGAGTAGCGACAGCATGCTTGGGCTTTGCATTCCAGTCCTGCCTCCAGAGTCTCTCTCCCTTCAGCCAGGCTGCTCTACAGAATCCCTCCTCTGCCTCTGCACTAGAAGGGAAGCACATCTTCCAGAAAGGCCCTGCTTCCACCAGCACGTTAGTGGCATGGCACCACGGAAGTGAGTGGTCTGAGGAGAATGGGAACCATGACTTTGATGCCAGCTCTGCTGCCCAAGTACATAATTTGGGGTGAGGGACTTCACCTCTTTGACCTCATTCTGCATATGGAAATGGAGGTAAGAATGCCTCCCTCCTAGAATGGTTGTGAAAATCCAATCCACACTGTGTATGAGATCATTAACAGCATGCAACTTCTAGAGGGGCTTGGAAAATGGTAATACTCACCGTATTTTTCTTCATGCTCAGAAAATCTCATTTTAAGACCCAATATTTTAGAGGCAATGGTGAAAGCAAATAGAAATAGTACCAGTGATGTACCGGTACTATTTTAAGGCCCAATATTTTAAAGGCAATGGTGAAAGCAAATAGAAATAGTACCAGTGATGTAGGAATACACTTGCAAAAGTTTCTGCTTGACGTCTGAACTCAGAGCAATGGCGATGGAGAAATTGAAACTCTTTTACCACGAGCAGCTCAGCCCTGATCTCAAGTCGGGTCTGCCCTGATGGACATACCAGGCAATGAGGGTGAGGGTCCGTGACCATGAACGAAGCCCAGCACTGTCCAGTGGAAATACAGCCCACACCACTATGTCATTTCAAATATTCCAGAGTCACGTTCCAAAAGTAATGTGTGGAAGTAAATTTCAACAATATATTCTATTAAACCCAGAATATCCAAAGTATTTTCATGTCAACATCAAGGTTTTCTTTGTCCTAAGGAAATCCAGTGTTGCATTTTACACTCACAGGGCATCTTGATTCAGACCTGATGAGCAGTTTCAAGCACTCATTAACCACATAGGGTTGGTGGTCACCCAAGTAGACAAAGTGGCTCTAGGGTAGAGGTCACAAACTGCCCACGAGCCAAATCCCTGTGCTGTCTGTTCTGGGACAGCCCAGTGAGCTAAGAAGGGTTTGTACACACTTCAATGATTGTCAAAAAATGTCAAAATAAGAATATTCGTAATACATTGAAACTATATGAAATTCAACTTTCTTCTTTTAAACTCTGAAATTGAAGTTTTACTTACTGTATTGGCTACTCCCATTTGTTTAGAGTGTCTCTAATTGCTTTCGTGCTACCATGGCCTAGCTGAGCTCTTTTGACAAAGACCCGCTGGCCTGCAAAGCTGAAAATATTTACCATCTTGCCTTTTGCAGAAAAAGATTGTCAACCTGTGCTCTAGGGAGCAGCTCCTCTTCACACTGGGTTTCCAGATCCCTGAGTGTGGAGAGATGAGCCACTGCACCCAGATCCACCAAGAAGCCGACCTCCCATCTGGTTGCCACGGCTTTGCTTTGTTGTGAGACTTCTACTCCTTTAATGAACTGAATTTCCTTCATTTCACAGCACAGATTCTGTTTCTTATGTCTAAGCCTTCCACTGTAAAGTCCTAAGCAAAGAATCCTGAAGGAAGCGCCTCGAGGAGAGGCCCCGGCCAGCATGACCATCAGTTGACTGTGACAGCTGCCATCCCAGCACCAGGCTGGTCAGATGGGGAGAAGAGCAGCCCTGTAGAAGGGTCTCGGCAACCTGGGCTCTTTCAAGCTATGAGCTACAAACAGGGCCCTGGCCCTGTAACTCCAGCCCCTCTGAGTTAGCATGAGCAGGCAACAACCGCACCAACCCAGGGCTCCTGCAAGAGGGGTCCTCCTGTTCAGGTCCCTCGCCAGGCGGCCAGCCCAGCGGGGCCTGAACCCTCAAAGCACCCTCCTCCAATGAGACAGCATCTCACCATCAGCCCTGGAAACACACTCGTGCTGTGCTCACAGTGGGCACAGAATCCCCGTAACAAATCACTAGTTAAGGAGCTGCCCTGCAGGCATTGCCGTCACTGCAGGGAGAGGCAGGATGAACAGATGGGTCAGAGAGGCTGTGTCCTGCACTTGGGTTGGGAGAATACCAGCTAGATAGATGGCCAGGTGAGCCCTTGTCTGCGTCCTCTGTGCTGCTATTAGCTGTGGCATCCTGGGACCTCTGTAAGCCTCAGTTTCCTCATCTGTAAAAAGGAAACACTAGGCCAGGCACGGTGGCTTATGCCTGTAATCCCAGCACTTTGGAAGGCTGAGGCAGGCAGATCACGAGCTCAAGTGATCGAGACCATCCTGGCTAACATGGTGAAATTCCGTCTCTACTAAAAATACAAAAAATTAGCTGGGCATGGTGATGAATACCTATAATCCCAGCTACTCAGGAGGCTGAGGCAGGAGGATCTCTTAAACCTGGGAGGCAGAGGTTGCGGTGAGCCGAGATCGCACTACTACACTCCAGCCTGATGACAGAGCAAGACTCCGTCTCAAGAAAACAACACAAAATAAAACAAAACCAAAAAAAAAAAGAAAACATTAGCTGCCTCCATGCAGAAAGACTGGGGATTTTGCGGAACAAAGCACAGAAAACGTTTTCCTGGCATATAATGAATGCTCAGGAAATATCAGTTCCCCATATCTCATCCTTCCCTAGCTCCCCGATGGACAGCGATTCATGGGGATGGGACAGAATCATGCAGGGACCTATGATCTGGAGTGTGCAGGGTGTAGATTAACTGATGCTAGGACTTAGAACCATGTAGGGCACAAAGTAAGCATCCTATATGCACTGGCTTGCATTTTCATTTTGCTTTTATTATCAAACAGGGAAATGCAACACCGTCCTGAAAAACTTTATGGAAATGACTCCTAAGGAAAGCTGGGCGATGGTGAAGAAATGTCTCCCAACAGGAAGTCACATATAACCGGGATGCAAAGCTAGAAGAATCAGGTGAGTGGCTTCCTGTTATTCGCAGGGATGTGAACTTCAAATACCTAGAACCAGAAATTGGCCTGAAGGACCCATTCTGCACTACCCTTATTGCCAGCTTTTGAACATTTCTAATTAATACCAACGCGGAGCAGATTAAATTTGCTGCAAAATTAAGTTTGCAATCACCAGATGTGGCAAGGCCATAGCTAGATCTCCTCCTACCCACTCTGTTAGGGGAGTGTGCTGCCCTCACGGTGTTCCAGAGGCCTTGCTGAGGGTTGCAGCCAGTAAAGCCACTGCAAGGATGGGCCACCAGAGCACGCCGCCTGAGGACAGCTTTATTTATGCACTTTTAGAATGTACAAGTGGGCCTTGTTTTTCTGGACGGCTAGGGAGCACACTGGCTCACATAGCGTCCATGGTTCCACATTTAGAGTTGTGTCTTCATTCACATTCTTTCCATGCAGCTCACAGCTCCTGGACTGGACGAGAGTGGTCACCTTGCCTGGGCCAGTACCCCGGACAGATGCCAGCTCTGGGCCATGAAGACCCTGAGTGTTCTTGGTCTGGAGTTTGGGCTGAGTTCTGTGGCTCTGTTTCTGGCTGGGGCTGGTCTGCACCAGGGTGCCCACTGTAACTGGCACAGACATGGGGTCTATTACAAGGGTCACGTAGGGGCACTTCCAGGAGAAATCAGATTCTGCAGGGGTCAGCCATGCTCAGGCTTGCTGGAGCCTCCAGCCAAGCTCTTGAAGGTTACCTGCTGCCAGGACAGGCTCATGCTGGGTCAACTAGGTTTTATTATTCTCTCCAGACCCTTCCTGCTGACATCACTGACAAAGCTACCCGCCACTGTCTGGTCCCCAGAACATTCCCCAGCCATCCCATGGTGCTCTTTCCTCAATCAGCCACTTGAAGCAAACACCATTCACTCCTGCCGCAGAGCAAAGCTTGCCGTTCCTAGGATCCTAAACAAGACATGAGGTCATGCTCTCCGCCTGTGAAGAATGAAACGTAAGCTGGGGAAGGAAGGTGCTGAGGAGGGGAGGAAAGCAGATTAGGAAGACCAGGGGCCCTGTCGAAGCTTTCAGCTCATGTTACCGACGCCCCAAAGCGAACACCTCCATAAAATGAGATTTAGTAATGCAACATTTCCTAACATCTGGAACAAAATGATTTGGGTCAAACAGATGACATATGAACTGACTATAAAGTTGTTTTAATGGGGGGGGGGTGCGGAAATTAACAAATATATCAAATCCATAATCTATTAGGTATTGTTGTTTTCGATAAAGTTCTTCTGTTCAAGACACAAAGCAAGGCAATTTAAATTTTCTTTCAAGGAAAATAGTAAGTAAATGTTGATACAGATAGTCGAGGATGTCACAAAAATCATGAGAAAAAAATAGCAAATAAATGACTAACATTTGGGAAGCTCTGCAATAGATGAGCATATTCATGTACGTGAGCTCTCCTGACCCTGAATCCCACAGAGCTCAGGCATTCTCTCCACTTTAGAGATGGTTAAACTGAGACTCAGGAAGGGTAAGTATGTGACATGTCAACTGGCTAGGAAATAATGGAGCCTGGGCCAAATCCTGTGTACTCTTTAAAAATGTTGTTCACATCTCAACTTGATGGTTTTTCTCTGCCCTGTTGGAGTGTTTGTTTTACAAACAGGGAAGGTAGGGAGGTAGAGAAGTGAGTGGGTAAAATTGAGGGGTTCACTTTGGGCCTCCTTCAAAGCATCTCTGAGTGTAGAACAGCAAGCAGTCATCCCCGCAGCAAGATTCTGAAGCTCTCAGGGCAAAAGGCAAGTCTGGAGGCTTCCAGGAGGAGGTGGGTCTGAATGCTCCTGCTGTTCGGGCACCTCGGTCTGCAGGGCATGGAGGAGGTGTTCTTTCTGACTTGGTTTAGACCAAAGGGCACAGACCTGGGTCCCTATGACCCTGGCTGCCAGCAGGTTCAAGGCTGGAGATAGTGCCAGGCCCTAACTTGGGGCCAGGACACAGGTTGCTGCCCTTGAAGAGCCCACAGGAGCAGAAGGGACAGTCTGCAAATAGACCAAGACACAGCGCACTGCAGACTAGCAGAGGCCTTGAGCACAGCACAGAGCAGGACACCCAGCAGGGACAGTCATCTCTGCTTTCTCAGGCCACAGGCAGGGAAGCATAAAAAACGATCTTGGAGAGAAAGGGGGAAAAAAAATAATCGCTCTTGCATTAAATCCGGGGAGTGAGCAGACTGTCCTAGGGCCAGCCTGGGAGAAGAAGGAAGGCACCCTGGGAGCTGGCACAGTACAAGCAGAGGAAAAACCAGTGGAAAAAGTCTGGGGGTCTGAGGGCAGTTTGGGGAGCAGGTGACCCCAGCCCAAGACAGAAAGCAGCCATTGGAAAGGCAGGCATAAGCCCACCTCAGGATTGCAGGGGGGCCAGCCCCTCCAGAGGTGGAGAGGGGAGCCCTTGCCTGGCAGAACAGACTTGTCCACTGGTGCTTGGACCTTGCAAACAACCGGGCTTGCAAGCTCACCAAGTGGACACTTACCTTGCCTCTTCCCCGATTATTTCATATCCATCTGCAACTCTCACCCTGAGACCCAGCCTGGCCTTCCCCCAGCTGCATATTATTCTGCTCCAAAAGCGCAGCAGAGGACAGCTCCTTACTCGAGGAATGCGGGCGGCGGTCGTCCAGAGCCGATGATGAAACGGGCTATTTCTGCCCCGGGACATCAGCAGGGCTCCGGGCGCTGGCTCCAAGGCACACACTCTCCTGTTTTTAATGTTTCCCTAGACAAATGTTTTCCTTCCCACCTCGGGATATTTTTATTTGACTCTAGGTGCTGGAACAGCTTTAGCAATCGTTCTGGATTGAAGTTGGAATCGTGGTTAGGGTCCGGCTAAGCAGCAAGCAATTTCTCACTCCCCAAGTGATCTGTTACTCGTGGCTGATCTGGATGTAAAAATAGCAGCTGAGGCTGTTTGTTTAATCTGACTGTTACTTGACACCACGCGGGTGTTGCAGTGCGGACTGTTTGCCTCTTCCCCACCAAGAACACCATTTGGTCTCCCCCGGCTGGGTCTCTATTTAGGTAAGCTTCACGGACTTCCCGTGTCTGGCCAGCTTCTGGTCACTGATCTTCCTCAGGTGGGAAGGTTTGTGAGCTGGAGAAGGCTTGGGTCCTGAGTCCACTCTCCTGACACCTTTGGGCAGCCTGGCTAAAGAGGAAAGAAGAAGTCTTGGCCAAGGGGCAGAGCCGGGGTTCTCTCCCATTCCCGAGGAGGCCTGAGCAGCTGGACACGCAGAGAGCGGAAGGTACAGCCCAGACACTTGTCTGGCTCCTTAGCGTGGGCAGGGAGGCTCAAGCTCATGGCAGAAGGGACGTTCCCGCTGGGCCGCTGCTGTGCTGGGGATGTAGTTTGGTGCCAGGGTGCTGTGCAGGTGGTGTTTGTGTGCCAGGAGCCCACGGGTGCTGGGGCTGAGGTTCTTGGTGTGCTGGATGGGCCTCGGGGACTGTGTACCGGGAGCTGTGTACATGCGTGGCTTTGTCCTTAGGTGTCATCTGTTAGGGCTCTCTGCTCCCACATGGCTAAGTGAGTGCACAGATGTGCCCAGGCCACAGCGTTGTCAAATGGGGGTCCCCCCGTGGTCCCAGGTTTTCAGCAATCAGAGCTGAGGGAGGCTGGCTGTCTTGGCTCCCCCAGGCGCTGGGCCAGGCAGGGTCACACCAGCTGTAACAAAGAGGAAAACTGGTGACTGTGACATTCTGGCCTGTGGACTCTGCGAGCATGTGTTTCCCCAAAACAAAGCCCTCCACAGGCTGCCTGTTCTTCCACACCCTGGGAGGGCCCCCACCAAACTCTCACGGGGTAGGCTTGGCTGAGTCTAAAACTACCTCTTTAGTTTTCTGGTAGAGAAGAATTGATCATTGAGAAAGGCAGTGGTCAATGTGTGTGGAAAGCTAGGTAGCCTTAAGAAGAATCATTGTGTAGGCCTTTCGGGTAGCTCCATAAGTATAGGAACCCGGGGAGATTAAACAGATGTGCGTGGTAAGTGAGGTCCTGTTTTCCAGCATTTGAGTTCCCTTTACAGTAGTGGCTAGTAACTGTGGTGTGTGGTCTGAGCACCTGGTTTTGTAAATAAAGTTTTATTGGCACACAGCAATGCTCATTCATTTGCATATTGTCTAAGGCTGCTTCTATACTGTATCAGCAGAGACCATATGGCCTGCAAAACTGAAAACATTTACAATGTGGCCCTTTGCAGAAAAAGTTACAAGAACACTTCTTGAGATGGGTCAATTTAATACAAAAAAAAAAAAAAAAACAGTAAAAGTTCTTGCTGTCAGAATAGCTTGTAAGTCAGACCCTTCCAATGGCTGGCTGGCTCCTGAGCCTCCCGCACCTTTCCAGGACTACTTTTCAGGCCTGGCTGGTACAGGAAATGTCCAGTTTGCTGTCACGGTGCTGGGAGGGTTAGCTTAGCAGTGGAATCACCAGACACACAGCATGCCCATGTGGCCTGGGCTGAGCAGGGCAGATTGTGCTTATCGGGGTGGTTTATAAATAGCCTTCTCCGGGTGACTCAAGTCCAACACACATCTGCCCCTGGGTCTCTGGGATGGGAACAAGTTTGTCTGCTCTTGGATGACCAGAAGCTCATTGGGAAGGGAGCAACTGTGTGCAGTGAGGAGGAAGGGGCTGGTGGAATGCTGTGTACTGGAGCAGAGGGGCTTAGGTCTCCTGGAACCTGTGGAGTGAGAGGTGCGGAGAGCAGACAGGAAGGCCAGAGACGGGCCTGCATCCTCCCACCTTGATGCCTTTTTGCCAGAACAGAAATAAGTGTCTTTCCTGACCTAAGGAAGCCCTGGAGACCCTTACTGAAGAGGGGAAGCCCCATGTCTTGAAATAACCCTATTCCTTTAGTCTCTGCCAGAAATTTCAGTAACCCAAGCCTGCTGGCGGCAACACGGCTGGTCCGTCTTCCTCATTGCCTCTTGGGATTTCATTCCATGTGCTCCTGGGTTACCAGAGGGAAGCAAAGGGCTTCAAGAGAAGGCCACACTGCAGGGGCACATGGGGCTTCTGCTCCCCAACAGGGCCCAGGCCCATCGAGGCTGGAGTGAGTTTTGGTTTTATTTCCACTTGAGGGTTTAAACCTCATTTCAAAAAATCCATCCAGTCCATAGCCCTTAACTCAATTGGATGATTCATTTAGTTAATTGGAAAAACCTCAGACATCCCCTCATTTCTACTTGGTTTCCAAGGGTTGCATGGCATGAGCTGGTGGATGGGACAGAGCGGGAAGGACAAGGGACCCGTGGAGGCCTATCAGGACCCAAACCTGGAGCATACAGAGCACATGCTGATGCTCAGATGCATCACCCCCAATGTAAGTCATCAGTATAACTCTGGAATATTTCCTGAAAGGGGCTGACTGTGGAAAGAATACAGTATGATTAATCCACAGCCTCCTAATGTCAAGGGGAGGCAGAGTGGATTCTCAGCTGACCTGAGTTCTAAGGGGAAAGGCTGAAGCCAGCTCCGTGAAAAGTGCATCACCTTCCAAGCCCACATCAGACGGCCTAGGGGAAGTCTGACAGCAAGAAAATTCCAACAACCAATCAACCATGAATAGCTTCCTCCCCAGACCTAGAGACTTCCCTGTCTTAGATGAAGGGAAAGGGACGTTCTTCTGGGCCATGACACGTGGCAGATGGACAGACCTTCCGTGCATCCTCCATTCTCTGCTTGGCCAATCCCAGGGGCTTGCTTGGGCCACCCCACTCTGGGCTGTCTTTCCTTGCCTCCGTTGATCCCTTTTTTCACTAAGAGCCCCCTTCCCAAGTGGACTTGAGCTGCTGAGGGGCTGCAAGGCTGGCTGGAGGGAAGGATTTCATCAGGGATCTCTCCTATTTCAAAGCCTTCACCTGAAGCTTGAGGAAGGCAGGGGAAAGGGAGGCTCTTCGGTTTGCTCGGGAAGCCTCTGAAGGAGTTTCCAAGGCTCTTTCCCTACTCCCCACTGTGTTTAGAAGGTGGTTCTAGACCTGGCACCACTGAGCCTGCCTGCGAGGGCCAGGTCATGCCAGGTCACACTGGAGCTGCCCCTTGGCTTGTCCTGTCCCGGGCTGCCAGGCCACAGTGGCTCCACCAGCCCATCCTCTCACCTGGCCCTGTCTGCCACTCTCAGAGGCAGATCAGCCCGAAGACTGCAGAGGTCAAATAGTCCAAGCTCAAGCCACCTGGGCTACACCCAACAGATGAGAGCCATGTCTTGCCCTCAGTTTGCCCACCATTTCCCCTGTGGAAATCATTGGCTGCGGACCTCCCATGCGCAAAGCTTTGGAGTGTCTGGTCTCATTTTCAACCATCCAGCATGGTGGGTCTTGTGAACCCCCTCATGGAGGCAGGCATGGCAGCTTGGAGAGATAGAGTAATTTGCCCAAGGATGCACAGTGAATGAGGGGCTTGAGATCTGAATGCAACACCTATGTCTTGTCCTCACTGATTACTGATACCTACAGCTCTCTTCACCACCCAACAGATTCTCTAGAAAGGAGGCCATCCCATCACCAGAGAGTCAAAACCTTTCTTAGGAAAAAGAAACCTTCCTTAGGAAAGCTGAGCATGCCTAGAGAGGCGCACAGGCTTCACCCAGCAACTCGGGACTTCAGGAAGTTGTTCAGAGTGCTGCAGGGATTCCACACTGCACTAGGAAGCCTGTGGCTCTGCAGGGGACACAGTACAGGCAAATCTGGGTTCATAGGTCAGCCCTTCCACTTCTCAGCAAGTCCCCTGGAACCTTAGCTTTCTCCTCTGTAAAATAGGAATAACAGCTCCCACATCAAACAGTCCTGCAAGCATTAACTGAGCAAATGTATGAAAAGTTCCAGGCACGTGGTAGAAATACAAGGATGGCTCTCCTCACTCCGCTGTCCTACTTGGAGATTTTTTTCCTCTCACTTAAACTCCAGCTTGGGCCTGTACCTTCCAGAGGTCATCAAGGAGAAAGTCCGATGCCTCAGGGTTCAGCTGGTTCATGCTCACAACTCAGCGGGAGAGCAGCTGGCACCGTGCAGGACTGACCCCGGCCCCATGGTGACCACGCATGGTGATCACCATCCCTCTTGCACAGAAGAGGTCATGGATCTGAGCACCTTCAGCATGTGGAGTGGGTGGAAGGCCAAGCTCGAGTGTGGACATGATGTTCCCGCCTTGGAGCCAGGCTCAGGACAAGGGCAGACACAGCACAAACCACAGCCATTGACAAGCATCAGACTCAAGTGGCCCAAGAGACTATGACTTGTCACTACAACCTCCCTGAAGTAGGGGTAACCTCCCGTCATTCTCCGGGGCATTCTGAAATGTCTGAGGATGCTGTCTTAGGAAGGGAAAGGGGGGCAAGGGGCCGGCACCGTTCTCAGACACAACAGGAGGTGCTCCAAGGAGCCAAGTTTTTTCCATCAACACAGCTCTAGGTTGAAATAAACATGGTTGTTAGAGGAGCATCTTTCAGCTTTAAATTTGGAAGGGAGAACTGGGCTGGCCACACCGAAATGGCTTTCCTTGCCACGAGGAATTCCATGAAGCAGTTGGGTATTGTTCAGCTCCTCACACTGCACTGCAGGAGCCTGTTCTCCCCTTTCCTTTCCCTGGCTGAGCCACCTCATCACTGCTGTGCTGGTTGGAGAAAGGACAGTGGTCATCTACCAGCTACTTCCCAGCCTCCTGCAGGGACATGAGGAGAAGGCCAGGCACAGCTTCAGACCTATGAGGGAGGCTTAGGAATTGCCAAGGGTGCTCTGTGTGAGGTCCCCTTCTCCTTATCCCAGATGCACACCGCTTCGTGGCTTCCAGAGCAGGGAAGATAACCTCTGCAGGAGAGCCAGGTCCTACACATGCCCTCTCTAGCTTTCCTAAAGCCAGTGCTCCCTGGTGGGACAAGACACAGAGGGAGACAGGTGAGAAGGTGCTAGGAGAAAGGTTGCTACCCACTCCTCACCCTGCATGAACCTGGTGGCAGATAGAAGACCATCTCGTCTCTTTTCTCTCTGCCCTTGCTGCATTCTGCAGAGACCTGGCCCTGAATCCTGCCTCTGCTGCTCTCTGGCTGTGTGACCTTAAGCAAGTTCCTCAACCTGTCTGACCCTCAATTACCTAAAATTCCTTTGGTGTCAGCCCTACTGAATTTGCCAGTTGTTGCACCCATTGGGTAAGGCCATGGATATAGAGGGTGAGACAGGTGGCAGGTGCTCCATCAACAGGATGGGCATCTGAGACTGCCGGGGTGCTGACACTCGGTGACAGCTTCTCCAG